TGGGAGGAACCTTAGAACACATTAGAATATCAGAGCCCTTAGAACATCGAATGTCAGAGCTGGAAGGAACCTTAGAACACAGAATGTCAGAGCTGGGAGGAACCTTGGACCTCAGACCTTTAGAGATCACCCAGTCCAACTCATTCAGGTAACAGAGGGGCGATTAAAGCCCAGAGAAGGAAACACACGGCTCCCAGGCCCTCAGCTTGTTAGTAGAAGAGCCCAGCCTTCTGTTTTCCCAGTGAGGGCTCTTTCTCACCCACTCTGGGAGCTCCCTGGGGGTTGCATCTATCCAATGAGCTATAGCTGAGCAGGTAGCAGGACTTGGGTTAAGTCAGTACAACTCGTGAGCTTCTCTAGGAAAAAGGGAAGAGGGCAATGGTCTGCAGAGCTGGTAAGGAGGCTTTAGGTTACACAAGCTGCTTGGATTGCTGGGAGGCAGCCGGAATGGACCCAATCTAATGGGATCAAGAATCCTGGAGCTGGGGGTGGGATGTTCTGAGAGCAGAGAGTCTAATAGCAGGTTAAATTAGCTCAGTCTACTCCCTCGACCTACCACCACACACACACACACACACACACACACACACACACACACACACAGGCAAAGAACACATAAACATGCACACACCAGCAGACACATGCAAACATGCACGGTGCAGACATGTTCACACACATGTAAAGACAGTGTGTGCATGCATGTAGGCAGGCACACAGATTAGACACACATGTGCGCACGCACACACACACACACACACACACACACACACACACATCCTACACACACAAGGGAACACTCACACCCCTTCCCAGAGCCGGCAGAAGAAGCTGAGGGCCCCAGGCGAATCGACCAGGTTGGGCACTTTATTTCCTAACTTTCCCATTAGACAGCAGGAGGCTCCATACCTGGGTCCAGTAAACTCAAACGTGGGGGGTGAGAAGAGGGCTGCGCTCACTGCAGACAGGGGGCAGCAAGGATTGGGCAAAGGGAATGGGCACACGAAGATGCTTCTGCCAAGGCAAGGGGGCACATTCTCCTCCCACTTAATATAAGCCAATTCCCTGTCCACAGATGTGTCCCAGCCCTGTGCCAGGCAATCCTGAGGCTGAGCCCAGGGAAGGAGGGGAAATCCCCCCAGAGTGGGGCAGAAAGTGCTTCGGGTCTGCACTGGGCCTTTGGGCTCCTGCCAGGGAACTTTCAGGGAATAAACCAGCTCAAGGGCTCGAGGCCTGGTCAATGGCCCGGGGCCTGAGCACACTAGCAGTTTCCCTTCCCCGTGGGCAATGTGAAAGTACCCACTTCTAAGGCCCATCCCCACGAGCTCTACCACGATATCCTCGGGAGAGTTGGGCTGGTGCTTCCATTGATTTACCATTCCCTTGCCCATTGGGGCTACATGAAATCTTGTAGCTGGTCCTTGCCAGACAGATCAGGCCCCCAGGTAACTGCCCAGCTCTGGTGGGGAGGACTGAAGAGGGAGGGAGACAGGTGCCCCCAACTGGGTGGTCCAGACTCTTCATTCATTCCTAGGGACTGACCTCATTCGAGGTTACCGCCCAGGTGGTATGTGAGCGGGGCAGGTCAGGCTTTGGGACAGGAAAGGGACAGGGAAGATGCAGGCCTGGGGCTGGAAGGTGCAGGGGAGCCCAGGCAGGCAGTAGGCAGCATCCGTCTGTCCAGGCTTTCAATTTCTGGCAGCGATGACCACAGACAGAGCCACACCCCCGAGGGCTACAGCTGTTGCCCCAAAGAGCCATTTCCACGGAATGGACTATAGAAAAAAAAACAACAAACAGAAAGGAAAATATTTAAGTGCCGCTCATCCCCTCCCTGCCCTGAGTGATCCACCATCTCCGCAAGTCTGTCCCCAGCCCTGCTGATGACCCAGGACCTGGCCTTGGCCGTCTGAGCTCGAGCGAAAAAGCCAAATCCTTAGCCTAGCATTCAAGGCCTGCATGGCCAGGCCCCAACTCCCTTCTCCACCTTCTTCTCTAGCCAGGCTGCTCACCATCCAGTCCCCAGAACATCCTCATGTCATCTTCCACGAATGTGTTCACTCCACCTCTTCTACTTGGGATGCCTCTCTTTCCCCTTTCTTCTGTCTCTCCAAATCCTTCCTCTACCCTTAAGTGGCCAGCTCAAAGCTCACCTCTTCCAGGAAGTCTTTCATGACTACCCCAGACCACAGGGAGCATTAAGTTCTTCTGAGCTCCTAGGGTACCTGGCAACTGCCATTTGGGGCCTCGGAACATCTCTTGAAGTATGATTTGCTTTTTCCTGTACATGTGTCCCTGCCTCCTTGACTCAAAGAGAAGCTCCCTGAGGGTGCTACAGGGACCAAATCTTTTGCTCTTCCTTTTCTCCAGCCCGGCCCAGCTCTGAAGAATTCCAGTCATAAAGGAAGCCCCACATAGGTGCTGAGGGGCAGGGACCTACAGGGCCACAACTGGTCTTCACTCTGTCCTGGGATTTCCCCTAAAGACTCCTCCTAAAGGCAAAGAATTCTACAAACGAAAGTGAGTTCAGGGATCTTCTGCCCAGGGCCAAGAGATCTGGGTTCGAACTCTGCCACTAACCTGACAAATGACCTCTGACAAGTCCCTTCGCCAATCCAGGCCTCCATTCCTAGCTCTAATTTGAGAGGATTACACCAGCTGGTTTCAAAACTCCCTCTCCATTAAAAAGTCCTACCTAGCTCTAACCTTTTCTGTTCCAAGGGCCCTCCCAGCCCTGACATTCCATGTTCTAAGGCCCCTCCCAGCTCTAACATTCCCTATTCGAAGGCCCCTCCCAGCACTGACAGTCTGGGTTCTCCTACTGCTGACAAAATAAAGTCTCTTCAAGTCCTAAAATTCTACGACTACGATGCCCACCAGTGACTTGGCTCTGAGCTGGCAGAGCTACTGAAATTCAGCTTGTGCGGCCCCACCCCCGGCACTGCCAGAGATGGCAATGCTTGCCAACAGCACAAAGGGGCCCCTCACCTTCCTATCAAGGCCTAGCTAGACCAAAGGCTGAATACTGGGAGAGGTCTCTGGACTCCTTGCCCCCCTGTCCCAAGTCCCTTACCCGGGGGCCCTTGGCGGGGCCCTTGGCAGGCAGTCCACTGGCACCAGCAGTGCCAAGCATCTTCTTGTACATGGCAGTCTCTGTGTGCCTCTGGGCGGCATGCTTTTTCACCAGCTTTGAGAGCTCCGCATGAATAGTCTGCAAGGTGAACACAGGAGAGGGAGAGAGGACCACCCCAAGAAGTGTTGGGGAGGGAAGCAGGCAGGAGCGAAGTAGATCCCAAAGCCCTTGGAGAAGCAGTAAAGGAGCCCCCACTCATGGTCCCAGTCTGCCAGTACTGGGAAATGGGGATGCAGAAGCTAGCTACTGGCTTCCTAAGAAACAACTAAGGACAAGACAAAGGTCATGACTTGGCTCAATCACATGCCAGGTGCCTCCTGCTGCCTCACGGACACCTCCCCCAACCTGGCATGATAAACAATGGGGGCACCAGTAAAATCTGTGAGGGTCGGAATAAGGGGGAACATGCTTCTGGATTTCCAGGAAGAGACAGCGAATGGGGGAAGAGAAAAGAGGATATCCCCTCTCTCCCCAGAGAAGCTAAAGCTGGGGAGTCTGGGTCCGAACTGGGACGGGACTACGACCCTCAGTTTGAGACAACGAGAGGGTGGGCGGAGGACTGCGGCAGGAAGGGAAGTAGAGGGCCTGCGGAAAGCTACTTTGCCTCCCCCTGAGAACCCAAATATCCCCCTGGTCCTGAGAAAAAAAGCACTAAGAGGAAACTCCCGGGGCCAGTTTCATGTCCTGTAAAGTGAGGGATGAGACTTAAAGTGTTCAAAGATCTCTGATAGCTCTGACTTAGTGAGTTCGAAGGGCCCTCCCAGCTCTGCCATCCTGTGTTCTAAAGGTCCCCCCAGCCCTGACCCCCTGTGTTCTAAGGGCCCTCCCGGCCCTGACCTCCTGTGTTCTAAGGGCCC